AAGAATGGAATGTCAGATACTAGATCCAACTATGGAAGGAAAAGCAATAACTGAAAATGTGGAAATGGCAAAGGTGCTACAACTTCTTTGTTCCGGTTTTCACCAGGAAGGGTGATGGCGATCGGATGCCTACAACAGGGAACGCTGGAGAGACGTAGGCAGGTTTCGAAGTTAAAATAGGAAAAGAACAAGTGAAAAATTACTTAGAAACGTGAGATGTCTGCAAGTCGGCAGGGCCTGATGAAATGCATCCTAGAATACACAAGGAGCTGACGGAGGAGGTAGCTGAGCCGTTAGCTATCATCTCTGAAAAAGCATGGAAGTTGGGAGCGATTCCAGAAGACTGGAAAGGGCAAATCTAGGGCCCATCTATAAAAAGGGAAATAAGAACAACCCAGGAAACTACAGACCAGTCAATTGAACATCTGTGCCAGGGAAGATAATGGAGCAAGTAATTAGGGAATTCATCTGAAAACATATGGAAGATAATATGATAGAGAGCAGCCAGCATGGATTTGTCAAGAATAACTCATGTCAAACCAACCTGATAGCTTTCTTTGACAGGGTATCGAGGCTTGTGGACAAGGGAGAAGCAGTGGATGTGGTACATCTCAATTTTAGTAAAGCATTTGATACAGTCTTGCATGCCTGTCTTACCAATAAACAAGGGAAATACAGCCTAGATGGGGCTACTGTAAGGTGAGTGCATAACTACTCTCTGAGAACATAAAAAACAACAAATAGTCTGGTAGCACTTTATAAACTAACAAAACACGTAGATGGTATCATGAGCTTTCGCGGGCACAGCCCACTTCTTCAGATGACCGGAGTGTTATATGTCCAGAACCAAAATAAATGGGGGAGAAAGGAGGAGAGGAAAATATGGGCGGGGGAGGAACAAAAGGAGGCAATGGGTGTATAAATATCAAAGGGAAAACTGAGTTGGTATGTAACAGGCAAAACTGATAGTCTAGGAGCACCTAAAAACTGATGAGTTAAAAGAAGCAGATCAAGACTATTAGTTAGCAATTAGAAAGGAAGAGTACCAATACCAGACTCTCTACAGGCAAAGAACCATTGGCACCTTCATTGTTTGATGGTTGATAATGTCCCAGCCATCCGGTATCTCGATTCAAACCATTGGCATGCGAATTAAACTTGTGAATGAATTGTAGTTCCAACCCTTCCCTGTGTATTTGGCTTGTGGAACTGGTCTGTAACAAAACAGCAACTTGACGATCTCTTCATGAATGACCAGGCAGCTTGAAGTGTTCACCAACAGGTTTCTGTAGGTTCCCTTTTCGGATATCTGATTTGTGTCCATTGATTCTTTCCCGTCGGGACTGTTAGGTTGCAGATTGTGGATAATGCGTTGGAGGGGTTTAAGTTGTGGACTGTAGGTAATGACAAGTGGAATTCTGTTATTTTCTTTTTTGGGTCTGTTTTGAAATAAATCATGTCTGGGTACTTTTTGGCCTCTCGCAATCTGTTTTTGCACATCTGAAGAAGTGGGCTGTGCCCACAAAAGCTCATGATACCACCTACACGGTGTGTTAGTCTTTAAAGTGCTACCATTCTATTTGTTGTTTTTAACGTTTGTCCTGTACAGACTAACTTGGCTACCCCTCTGAAGCTCTCTGAGAACAGTTATCCAACCACTTATCAATGGTTCAACGTCATGCTGGAAGGGGATAACAAATGGCGTTCTGCAGGGATCAGTTTTGGGACCAGTTCCGTTCAACATCTTCATCAACTATTTAGATCAGTGTTTCTTAAAATGTTTAAGACTGAGAAACACCAAACAATAATTATTTATGAGGAACATCAAGGATTTTTTTGACAACAAAAAAAAGGAGGCAGGGGAGAGAAGGGTCAGGGGGACAGCTATTGAGGGGGAAAAAAAAATCACCTGCCCCTTTAAGGGCAGCCACTTTGAATTCTGTTGCTCTCCGCGGCACACCTCCGACTGCACAGTTTAAGAAACACTGACTTAGATAACGGCAGAAAGAGTACGCTTATTAAGTTTGCAGATAACACTAAGCTGGGAGGGGTTGCAAGTGCTGTGGAGAATAGAGTCATAATTCAAAATGATCTGGACAAATTGGAGAAATGGTCTGAGGTAAATAGGATGAAGTTCAATAAGGAGAAATGCAAAGTGCTCCACTTAGGAAGGAACAATCAGTTTCATGTATACAAAATGGGAAGTGACTGTCTAGGAAGAAGACCTGCAGAAAGGGATCTAGGGGTCACAGTGGACCACAAGCTAAATATGAGGCAAGAGTGTGACACTGTTGCAAAAAACCCACATCCCCCCTCCCCCCCGCTTCTGGAGTGCATTAACAGGAGTGTTGTGAGTAAGACATGAGAAGTCTTTCTTCCGCTCTACTGATTAGGCCTCGGTTGGAGTACTGTGTCCAGTTCTGGGACCACATTTCAAGAAAGATGTGGAGAAATTGGGAGACAGTCCAGAGAAGAGAAAGAAAAATGATGAAAGGTCTAGAAAACATGAGCTATGAGCAGGGGCAGATGACTGTTTTGCGGGGCCCCGGGCAGCATAACTCCGCAGGGCCCCCCTTTGCCACGGTGCATGCGCCGTGATGCCATGCACATGCGCGGGGCTTTTTTAAGCGCGGGGCCCGGGGCGGCCGCCCCGTTCACCCTGCCCTATATCCGCCCCTAGCTATGAGAGAAGACTGAAAGAATTGGGCTTGTTTAGTTTAGAAAAGAGAAGACCGAGAGGGGACATGCTAGCAGCTTTCAAGTATCTAAAAGGGTGTTACAAGTAGGAGGAAGAAAAATTGTTCTCCTTGTCCTCTGACAATAGGACAAGAAGCAATGGGCAGCAAGGGAGGTTTAGGTTGGACATTAGGAAAAAGTTCCTACCTGTCAGGGTGGTTGAACACTGGAATAAGTTGCCTAAGGAAGCTGTGGAATCTCCATCACTGGAGATATTGAAGAGCAGGTTGGACAGACAGCAACAGGCCTGGAATCTAGTGAGCAAGACTTTGGTGCAGTAACACGGCAGCCAAGGAAGAGGCCCACTTGATAATTGTGTGATTGTGTAAGTTAGGTGGGAGCATGGAAGGACACAGGGAGGCAGCGGGTGCAGATCATAAGCCAAAGGGGAGTAGCGGAACATCCTAAGAAGAAATATCTTGGTACAAAGACTCCCCCAAAACTCATGTACATACCGACCTAAGTTCAGGACTGAGTCAAAGTTGACAGCACGAAGGACAGTAAGTAAGGCCCCTTCTGGAAGGTGAGGGGTGGGAACTAGGCAGGTGAGGGTGGCAACCTGGTACATAAAGAAGTGATTTAAGTTGTTTGCACAGGTCTATAAAAGGGCACTGCAAGCGGTGAGCGCCGACTGACCCTGCTTGGGGGGGGGGGTGCTTATGCACTTGTGTAGGACGCACAGCGGCTTACCCTATGCATCACATCTGGCAATAAACCTGCTCGACTGGTTTCACCCTTGCCTGAACCTGTCACTTCCGGGGGCTCTCAGGTCTACTGAATTGGCCCAAGTGCACGGGGTCCAACGCTTTAGACAAAGGGAGCACACACATGCAGCTGAAAGCTCATTACCGCCGACCAGGTAGACGACCTGTCAGAAACGAACCAGGACAATCTCGAAACCCTGACTGACGACATGCTGTTCGGATGGTGTGCAAAACCAGAGCCCACCCTCTGGAAGGCTGGACACCCTTCCAGTAAGGCTCTGACTGGAACTGGATACGGGAACACCCAACAGCTTGGAGGCCATTTTGAGAGAGACCAAGGAGCCACCCGAGGTGCTGGGACATTGCACCAATCAATGCAGTGCACGTGAGGTACGCATGCGGACGGCATAGGCCCCTTGTGTTTTACAGCAGGAGCCCCTGGCCACAGGCACTAAAGACCTCGCCCTGGAAAGTGCTGAGCAAGCTTCGCTCCCAACGCAGTTGGCTAAGGCAACGGAAGTTGAATCCACGCTTGCACCACTGGGCCCATGGACGATACAAGGTACAGTCAGCCATCTCCAATGCTTGTGGAATGAACGGAGCGCTGGAAACCCCAGGACTCTGCTGGGGGAGTGACCCGGCCTCGGCACGCACTGCCCCCATTTCTGGAGGGGGTAAAACCCCTGTGGATGAGCGTGCCCTGACCATCTGGAGATGGAGACCAGGTTCCGAGGAGCCCCCCAACGCCGCCGACACTGCTTACACTGAGCTGCCTTCATAGCGAGATGCTGGAAAAGGACAACCTGCCTGTCTACCGCTCAACTCACCGAGGGAAAGTGACTTGGGCTGGAGTTTCGGGAGATGGAACAGCAGAACCTTCCCACTCCTGTACGCCCCACAAGCTGCGGTCTATCATATTCCAGGCGAGGGTGGCTGCACGCGCCCACAAACACACGCACGTGCACAGTAAGCAGCCTGGGCACCTAGCGCTGTACATCACCACAGAGGCAGTAGTGCCCCGACAGAATGCAGCTCAAGCAGGGATTCCCCAGCCTGCGGCGGGAAACCTCCCAACAACATCGGCCCTCACTGCAGAACCCCACCCCACTGGACTCCGCCAGGCTGCAGGTTCTGTTCCTGCAGCTCCTGTGGCGACTATTTCAGTTAATCAGGGGAATTTAAAGGTGATGCGTTGGCAAGCTCTGCTCCAAGCTGTTGTCCAGGAGCAGCCCAAGGCAGAGGCAGTAGGACGTTCCTACTGCGGTGCCCACAGCTCGCACAGGAAAGCCGACGATCAGTCTCCTTTTTTTTTATTGCCATTTGAAGGAGTTGAGGACGGTGCTTCCTAGGGACTAAAACGTGGGGTGCACAAGCTCTCCACTTCCTACGGGCATGGGAACAGCACGTTCACGTGCCCCCGAGAGCGACTGCGGATGGTTACAGCAAGCGATCGCCACGTCAGGCGCTTCCTCGCGTGCTGGTCGCATTGCGCGGGCGAGGATCAAAACGTCAGCAGCGGGGGCAAGCAGCAACCGTGGGGGAACACCAGCGCACTCCTACCTTCCATGGCGTATTTCGTATCCTGGGCAAAGAGGTTCCACATGACTTCAGCACTGACCTTCCCGACCGTGAGCTCCTGGGGAAACCTGCACCAGGGAACCAGAGAGAAGGCTTGAAGGGCTGAGAACAAGGGGGCGTTTCAGTCTGCTCTGAGCAACGCCAGTCAGCCTGTGATGACACGAGGTGGCTAGCTGGAAAGTGCCAACGGGACTCGACCTATCGGTTCAAAGAGACTGAAAATATCCCTGCTGCCGTGACTAGGAGACCAGCTGGTACGGGCTGCTCTCTAACTCTGTACTGTTACCTCAAAATGTTCATCCTTCTCCTAGCTCTCTCCTTTGCCCCTTCCAAGGCGAGGCCCCTTGTCCCCATTGGGTTACGGGGTCATGTTGCTGACAGGGTAATGCTCATCAGGTGCACTGCAACGTTAAGATCAAAAATCCCCAATGCACCATCTGCCCCTTTGCCTACAAGGCATGCGGGGGGTTGCTGGAGACATCTGAATGGAGAGTATCTGATATCTCACTGCCCAAGGAGACCAACTGGCCCTTTTGGACACTGAAGCCAACCCCGCCCACGGAACTCTCAGTCCCGCGCGGAACACGGACACGCGCCAAGCCCCACACAAAGCGCTGTCACCACAGGGCCAAACGTGGGCGAGAGAAAAGTGTATCCTAGACAACTCTACAAGAACACCCACGTTCAGGTCTCTCACTGAGCTCAAGAGTGCAATAACCAAGGCGTATGCGTTCAAACGCCATCAAAACTCAACCTTCTCAAACTCTTCCCTCCCAATCAAAAAGAAAGTAGAGAGACAAATCCGACCGACCGACAGACAGACGAGTATTCGCTACAAACACACACATGGCAGAAGACGACAGAGGGCAGTGTCACAAATAAAGCAGAACAGACAGTCTACTTCTAGCATTAGCCAGGAAGGACGTGGAGGGTTCTTACTGGTTCAGGACAGGGGTATAGGAATTTTTATCCTCTTCTATAATGGACACTATCAGAGTAATGAGTTTAGGCCAGAAATCCAGGTTCCTGATGCTGGGGCCTTGTTCTTCAGGAGGAAGATCCTGATTTTTGTTCTGGAAAGGAAGCCAGGAGAAACTCAACAGTGAGACTGAAGAAATACGACTCAGCAGGCCTGCCCCGCCCTGCACAGGGTGTGCCCTTCGTCACTTTCTTCTGAGGGCTCCACCACCAGGACTCGGTCTTGACAAGCTCCCTGACCCAACCCCATGCACCATGCAATGCAGACCGTGCCGCGAGCGGGCAAGCCCTGCACACGTCTGGTATTCAAACGGCCCCTCCTTTAGCTCTTCCTGCGTCGGCACCAGGGACACGTTTACTCACATCTCTCCTTGACTAGACTATTTCTAACCACGTCTAATCAGATCACTGATACCAGTGTAATTACCATGCATGGGCAGTACGTGAAGGTAGGGCTGGGGGAGGCAAGCCCCCAGCCCCTTCCCTTCTACTGGGCCCTGCCCCCCATGGGAGCCAAGCCACCTCCCCCACCATGTGAGGCAGGGTAGCACCCCACGCACACCCCCGCCCACCACCACAGGGAGGAGGCAGGAGGTGCACAGCCCCAGCCTCCAAGGCCAGGAGCACAAGGAGGGCGGGCAGTGGGGGCAGCAACACTCTGCCCCCAGAACACCTACAACAGGCGTTCTGGGGCGGAGTATGGGTGGGGCCAGGCTAGCAGAAGCCTTCCCCCACCTTGCATACCAGCCAGCAAGCTGCCACGCACATTACCGAACCGTAGACATGGCTGCTGAATAGGCGTGGACAAACGGAACCCTTTGGACTGACGTAGCTATAGCATCGTGTTGCACCAACCACCACGCATGCAACTCAAAGGGTCAATAGATTCAGTAAAACATGGTAGAATTCTGCACCTGCCAAGTCGTGCAATTTAAACCTGATTTCTTCTCTTCGTTTAGTTTGCGTTCTAATTGGCGGTTACTGAATGAACATTACATCAAATTTACTCTTTGAATAGTTGTCTCTAATCAGGGAATAAAACATCTGTGGCTTTTGAAAATGAGCTCTCCAGCAATTAGTGACAGCAAAAATTATCCTCTTTCATTCACTGCAATCAATGCTCCTCAATTGCTACAACAGATGTGCATTCAGAAGATCACAGCCTGTAAAACTGAAGCTACGTTGGTTTAGCTTCAGCTATTATTCACTCCGCAGCACATCTCTCCGATACTCACGGGATCTGTCTGGTACTCGCGACTATACAGCTCGTGGCAATTATTGAAGATGTATTCGTAGGTTGAGTTGAGACAGGCCTTCACACAGTCCTTCACTACTTGGCTGGCTCGAGGAGGGCTCTGTAGTTCTTGAACCTGGCAGGAAGCAGGAATAAAGGTGAGCAAAATAGCTCCTGTGTCACGGGAAGAAGAGGAGAGGAAGGCGGCAGCGCTAACCCAGCACTGGACAGAGACTGGCTCAGTTCCATGTGCTGCCCCATGAATCTGTGAACCTGAGCACGTCACTTGGACTCTGAGCTTCAGTCCTTCAACTGCAAACCAGGGGTAAGTGCGTGACCCTACCTCACCGGGATGTCGTGAGCACACACGCTCAGGATGGGGAGGCACTCGGGGCCAGATGAGGAGCTAAAACAGACAACTCCAGCAATAAACCTAGCGTAAGCAGTGCAAGGCAGGCAGCACTCATAGGTAAGGTTCAAGGGGCTTCTCCATGACATCAAGACAAACATCCAAGTCTCTCCCACTGCAAAAAATGGTCCAGAGAGATTCCATCACAGCTCTTGGCATCTCATCAGCCGTGAGTTCCCAGAACGTCCCAGGCTATTTTTTAAAATCCACGATGGTGGGGGTTTTATTTGACCTTTATGTTACGAACTTGAAAGTGCAGATCAGAGCCCTGAAGAGTATGCCGATGCATTCATCCTTTTCCCTCTTGCAACCCTCATTCTGTTGCTTCCGACTCAATCTTCTACCTCACACTCACAATGCACATCTGTTCTAAAAGGCTCCACGCATCAGATATGGGAAAATAGATGGGGAACAAATTTGGTTCCCCTTTTTTTCCCAGCTTTAAAAAAAATGCCGAGCCATTCTGAACAGAAAGCAGAGTTTGGGAATCACTCTGAAATTTTACATAACTGTTGTATGGATTATGAGCACTTTCAAAATGCAGCACACACTATTATGAGACATTTATTTGGTGTAGTTAGTTTATCTGGTACATTTTCATAACATATAAAAACCATTTCTTGCCCGAAGAACTTACAGCCAGACTCAAAGCACATTTTGAAATGCCATGAATGAAAAACTCATTTTGATAAAAACAAATAAAGGTGAAGGTTGCTAAGGGACAACAGTGCATATATCAGACAGAAACCAAGCATTTAAGAACAAGGCAATGAATGGTTAAGGAAATCAAATCTCACACGGCCCCTATGAGAAACAAATACAAGCACAAAAAAGGCACATTTCATTAATGTAACCACAATCTTAACTATGCGCCATAGCTCTGTATTAATAAATTCATTATCGGAATTATCTTGATTTCAGTATGTATTTCCTTTTGAGACACACAATTAAATGAGAAATCTTGTTGTTTAATATTCTTAGACAAGAGAGCTCTTGTACAGATGGAACTGTTTATTAATACTGCTGGAAATGTAGTTTTGCCCGAAAAGTTTCTAACCATCAAAAACGGGTAAAAGGGCTTCGCTCCGAGCAGTAGCGGACACCGCCACCACACAGGAATATTGCCGCTGTGACGGCTCCTTACCTTCATTCTGAAAAATGTGATGCTGGTCAGCAAGTCCACTGTGGATTTCAAGTCCTGTAGCCGCTCCGGGCTGCTAGCTGGGAAATTGTTCTGCCGGCATAGAAGTGAAAGCACAAGTGAATGAGCAACCAGCTGTGCACACACTCGCACGCCCATTCAAAGCAAAGATGTTAAAAGCCCTTGGCAATAAATACAGCTCAGAACTTCTATCACCCACACCAATGCTCAATACAGAAAAGCCTTCACTCGGGACAAGGGAGACCTCTCCACAACAAGAATTCATCTGTTTCATTACAAAGTTCTTCATGCGCATTGAAGGTTCATGACAGGCAGACTGACCGGCCTCGCTGGGTGAGACCAGGGGTCCATCTACCCCGTAGCCTGTCTGTCGGCAGTGGCTGGCACTAGACACTTCACAGGGAATGACCAGAACAGGGGAACTGAGTGACCCATCTCCGACTGCCCACCTGCAGCTTCTGGCAGTGAGATGCTTGGTGGCCGCAGCACACAGAGCTGTTTCTGACCCTCCTGGCTCTCAGCCCTTGTTGGACCCATCGTCCAGGAACTTACCTGATCATTTTTGAACCCCGTTATAATTTTGGCCCTTACTGCCTCCTCTGGCGAAGCGTTCCAAGGGCTGACTCTGTTCTGCATGAAGAGGCACTTGTCTTATGTTTGCTTCCAACCTGCTGCACCCCAGTTTCACTGGGTGACCACTGGGCTTGTAGCACTGAAAGGGCTGATCTCCTTCCTAAGATTAATAGTTCCAGTCTTTTGAACCTTTCCTCTTAGGGAAATTGTCCCATAACCTTCCCCATGTTCCTTGCCCTCCTCTATAATTTTTCCATCTGAATATATTTTTTTGAAATGGGGTGACCAAAACTGCATGCAGAATTCCAGGTGTAGGTGTACCGTGGATTTATAAAGCATCCGTATATTTTCTGTACTATATCTACCCCTTTTCAAATGCTTTCTAAGCAATCTGTTCGCTTTTTTTTTTTGACTGCCCCTGCACACTGAGTGGATGTTTTCAGAGAACTCTCCATGACGACTCGAAGACTCTCTCGAGTGGCAACCGCTAATTTAGAGCCCACCATTTTGTACACAGAGCGGGGATGCTGTTTTCCCAATGTGAATGACTTTGCATTTATCGACACTCAGGTTCATCAGCCATTTTGTTGTCCAGTCAGCCAGTTTTGGGAGTTTGCTCTGTAACTTCGCAGACTTATCTGTGACGTACTGGGGGCTGTCTACTCTTGTGGCCTGGGTCCACTCTGGAGGCATTTTCTATCTATCATCTTTGCCACTTCCTGTTTACCCCCCTTTCCCAAAGCATGAGACCTTGACTGGGAGGGAGAGGGGGAGGGGCAGAACATGGTCTGCGTCCTTTTCATTTTATGTGCCAGCGGCCCATGTCTATTTCCGGTCAGAAGGCCTGTATTTACACACAGAACAAGCACAGCACGAGCAGCAATGCAGCACCGACAGCACGGCTAGTTCTGAAGAGAGGGTTCAGCCAGCGTGCTGGTCGGCACTGGTCCCAGCAGAGACCCTTGGAGGAGTCTCCTCTTCAGTCCAGTTCCAACCAAGGGCAGCCCCGGGAGCCTTTTTAAAACGGGTGTTGCATTAGCAATTGACCATGAACCTACTCCTGCAGGGGCTAGTAGTTCTGCAGTTCCAGATCTAAGTTTCCCCACAATTCCCGGTCCGGATTTATTACGGTGAGCTCCAAAACCTTCTCTACTGACCCCTCACTCTGGGATAGTGCCCAGCGGGGTGGGCATGTGGGGGGGCCCAGCGCCATGCCCAGAAGGGTGGGGCTGAGCGTGGAAGAGGGAGGGCCCAGGGCCGTCAGCCCTTAGTACTGCCCCCGCCCTCACAGCTGCATGGAGCAGCACTCCAGTAGCGGCAGCCCAGAGCTCTGGGCCCCTTTCAATCTCCAGGCCCTGGGGCAATTGACCCTTTTGTTCCCCCTCCTCCCCCCACACTGGCGATACACCCAGGCCTGGCACCTCTCACATCCACCGCAGTGAAAACCAGTGCAAAGAATTCATGTAGCTTTCCTGCAAGGGCCTGGGTCTTCATCGAGTGCCCCCGTAGCACCGCCCCAGCCAGCGGGCGTCCAGCCTCTGAGGTACTTACACTTACTGTTAATTGGGGTTTGTGACTTTCACTCATTGCCTTTCCATTCCTTTTGGGCCCGTCTAATGACACGTTTACACTGGACTTGTCAGAGTTTCTGCGCCCCTCTGTGTTCCTCCCTAGGATGCGGCTTCCAGTTCGCCAGCGGTGTCTTGTTGCCTCTCACCTCTTCCACTCTGCTTACCCAGCATGGACATTTTTTTTTGTCTCCATGTTTTTCCCTACTCGGCATTTACCTTTACTTGAATTGGTCCTGCCTAGAGCAGGGGGCTGCACTTGACGACCTTCTGAGGTCTCTTCCAGTTCTGTGATTCTATAAGCCTCTCATGGGACGTACTTTAAACTGTTTCCATGCAGCTTGTGACTGAGGCTTGGAATTGCTGTTTAACTGGCCTCGTTTTTGTGGAGTTGCGTTTTGAAGTTCAGTGCTACTGGGGTAGGTTCCATTGGTCTTTCCTGCCCCCAAGAAGGAAGTTAAATGTAATGACAGTATGGTCACTATTACCAGCCGGTCGGCTATACCCACTATTACCAGCCGGTCGTGGACTAGACCCTGTGGCCCATTTCGGACTAAAGCAAGAATTGCCTGCCACCTTGTGGGTTCCGGCTGCTCCTGGAAACAGTCATTAATGGGGTCTAGAAATGGTCTCTGCATCTTGTCCTGAGGAGACATCTTCCCGCTCAATAAGGGGATAAATGAAGCTCCCCATTACCACTGGGATTTCTTGTCTAATCACACTGAGTATTTCAGAAGCACCATCCCCAGCCTGGTCAGGTGGTCGGAGGTAGAATCCGAGTGTCATTCTCTTATCGCGCAGGCATGGAGTTTCTATCCAGAGTCTCTATGGTACAGTTGGAGTCACTGAAGATGTTTACAACACTTGACTCTAGGCTGTGTCACGTGGTGCCAGACCCTCACCGGTACGACCTGCTCTGCCATTCTTACAGAGTTTGAACCATGGCACTACTGCGCCCCATGGATTATCCTCATTCCACCAAGCTTCTGCGATGCCTATTACACCCCGGCCCCAACCCCCTTCTCCCTAAGCCAACTGTAAAACTAACCCACTCTCCCAGCAACTGGCCCCAGCCCGGAGATAACAAAAGAGGGGGCAAGAGTAAGATTCCCAGGCAAGGTGTCACCTGGTTGCTCCCCCAACCCAGGTTCAGGTTACAGCACAGCCTGAGCTACTGTTGTGGATGTGGTAAGATGGGGCAGCCTCCCCTCGGCACGAGCCACGCCCAACATCCCATCTCCAGCCGGGCACCAGTGCAGTGTGCAGGGAAACTGAGGCACGCACACACACAGAGTTACAATAGAACAGCACAGGACAGGCGGAATCACCCACCACACGACGTGAACAGAGCGAGCACAATCCCCACTACGTCCCAGCCTCTCTTTGGAGAAGGCCGGTCAGGATGCCCGGTGTGGTGCCACAGTATCCGAGTTCCATGGCACTTCACTGTCTGTTGCCTGGCTTGCAGGTACCTAACACTGGGTACTTACTTCCCTTCCCCAGAGCCCTGTCCGCGCACCACCCTCAAGGGGCTTCCGAGGGGATTTTCACAACACGATGCCCTCAGCTCCGGACTTGCTAAGCCCAGCATTTCCCTACCGTCTCACTGATCTGTCGCACACCCGCTCTCAGCCGACAGCCTCCACGCACAGTCTTGCACTCAGCAGGGCACGACGTTCAAACAGCCATGGGCATGGGTCCCCAAAACCCAACCAGAATGCCCCAAGTCTCGCAGCACTAGCCGCTGGGTTACACGAACGTTTCGTCCACAGGAAGCTGTCGTGCTTCGACACTGCACTAGCCTGCCGTGCACCAGGCGTCCACGTGGACCCTGCTGGCCAGCACGGCCGGCCCCTTCCTGTACTTGGATCTACCCCGTTTTGGCACCAGGCAGATCAAGGCTCACTAGGGAAGGAGGTCCCTTACCTATCTGGACCCTGAGTTCTTGAAGTGTGGCCCCTCTCTGTGCCACTGTGGGCTGTGCATGAGCTCTGCACATCTGAGTTTGGAAGATTTTTGCTAGCGGTGTCCCTCGGTCTGTGCTCGTGCAGTTCTCCTTGTGTCATGCAGACCATCGATTTTTGCTAGCGGTGTCCCTCGGTCTGTGCTCGTCCAGTTCTCCTTGTGTCGTGCAGACCGTCAGCAGAGCCCTGCCAGATTCACAGCCATGACAGACTGACGTCTGGTCGTGTGTGCGTGCATACCCTACCCCCTACAGATTCCATTGAGGAAACCCAGCGTTTCTGGGAGGTTCTGGCCCAAAAGGGAGTAGCCAGGGCAGGGAGGTGCAAGGCTATTTTAGGAGGTTCACAGTATCGCCACCTTGACTTCTGCATTGCTAAATTGAGAGCATCATAATCACCTAGCAGAATACAGATGGGAAGTGGGGGGAGCCCCACTCACTCACTCAACTCTGGGTCTCAAAGCTAGTAGAGAGTAGTTCATGGATCAAGTGTCTCAGGCAATTAGGAAGGAAGCTAGTTTGCTGGACACCCCCCAGTGGAACACAGACGGGGATCAACACATGAACAGCTCTGTGTGTGGCAGCAGGGCCCCTGTGGACACGCCGTATGTGGCAGTCACGTGGCGCAGATTTACACCCGCGAGTGCTGAGAGCTGCAGGTCCATAGAGACAAGCCCTAAATAGGCGGGAGAGGGTGGGTGGGATGCGATTGCACCAGGAGAGCGGATTGAAATACCCTTTCTAAGCCATTCATTGGGTCTGCTGCAAGATCAGGCGCAGCCAGGTGGCTAGTCACACTGATTGCCAGAAGCATTACGGCGCAGGAGCTGCAGAGAGCGCCTCTCGCTGGCATTAGCCGGAACATCAGATATTCCTTCGAAGCTGCTCATTTAAGCTGGTTGGATTCCACATGCTCTGCACTGACAGCTAAGTGGCAGCAGCCTAGCTCACGGGCACAACCTGCGCTAGCCCTCCCCTGTGGCCAGAGCGCCGGCCAGTAACCAATACGTCTAAGAACAAAAGAACTGTCAGCCTGGGAGATTTCTCCTTGGAATCGTGACCGCCCTACTGCTTGTGCTGAAGGGGAGTAGCCAGACCAAAGGTCCATCTAGCCCAGCGTCCTGTCTGCCACCAGTGGCCAACTCCAGAGGGACGGAACACAACAGGTAATCCTCACATGACCCCTCTCCTGTCACCCACGGCTACAAGACAAGCGCTAGTTACAATCGGGGGTTACTGTGGTGCCAGAAGTACTGCTGATGGCTCGACACATCTGGCAAAAATTGGCAGACAGGGCATTCGCAAAGCGAGACATCTTCTTCTGCCTTTGGTAAGCTAGTAAGCAAGAGTTTGACAAAGAGCGAGCAACAACAACTGAAGAGCACACATGCCAACATAACATGCTCTTAGACTCCTCATTGTCAGAGGATGACTTATGTCAGAGCTACCCTTGAAAGAACATCAGCTGTTCTGGAAAAAAGTCAATTAGGAACCCATTTATGCAATCAAGTCTCGACATCACAAATTAGATCTAATTACATTTTACCACAGCTCACATGCTATATTACTATTCTTGGCAGAACGAACTAACATCTCCTCCAAGGATTAACTCCCCCCATCATAAAGAGTATCATTCCACTATTTATAATTATATGCTTCCCAGCAGTACTTCTAACAGAATTAGAATGTGCCTTGCGTGCGGCAGGGGGGCTGTCAAAAGGTTTCTCTGCACTCAGAGCACAAAGACTGCGATTCAATCCCCGAGCGCCATGGGACAGCGCTGGAAATCAGGTTTCCGGGAGGTGGGGGGGCTTTGGCAAAGATCTTCTTGTAAGACGGCTCTGGCCGCAGCCACCCTTCCAGCCTGCCCGCCCCCCTGCAAAGGACGCATACAACAATGCCGAGTTATCCCAAATGAAGGCGAGCCACCCGCTGAACAAGACAGACAGAAATGGGGATCTGACAGAATATTCATCCCAAATTACTTTAGACTGGAATATGCACAATGTAGCATAAGCACAGAGCATGACAGACTGGGAGATTTCGCCGATGAATCAGGCCCTTGTGCTGAAAGAGAGTAGCCCTCACTCTGCCCTGCTCATGTGCCCCACATAGCTGCTCTGCCCAGGACAGGGGGTGGCCACCGTGATCAGGGACCGTCAGACAGAAGCCATCACCGAGTGTCTGAGGCCAACCATTCTGATTATCTCAACTCCTCACCCTGCCCCAGGGGACAAGGGACTTCCTACACAGAGGCCCGCAGAGTGGGAGGAGAGAGGCTTTCCGGCTGGGCACGGAGCGAGAGGAAGGGGAGGGCAGAGAGAAACAGAGAGGCTTTATCTGAAAGGGCGACTCTTCACGGTCACCTACAAGCAGCAGCGGCTGGGGACAGAGAAGGCAGGAGGGAGTGGGCACTGCTCAGGAAGTTTGTTCTTCCAAAGATCAGTAATTCCAGGGCTTTATCAGCCTACGCTGATGGGCAATCCCTTTGTTTGGCTCCCTGGTGGGGCCTACACCCTTGGTGGAACTCGCATGGTTCATACCATGCAGCTCGGGGCTGGGAGGCTCGTTCCAGGCTCTGCGGTGGCTTCGGTGCCAATTTCCACATTCCAAGGAAGGCCTGAGACGAGGGGACTGAACCTGGGGGTGCCCTTACAGACCCGGGGCTGGAATACTGCCCCAACCTTGGCCAGCCCCGGCCGACTGGGAAGCACATGGGACCCAGCCACTCGGTACAGTCCCAAGAGAGACCGGTGTGGGTTGTGATACAGAGCAGCTCTTGCTTTGTAGACGTGTCCTTCACACGGCCTGCCTGGGGCGACTGTGAACACGCAAGACAGACAATGGTTTCGTTGTGTGTCTGAAGAATTTTGGTGGGTGACAGGAGCCCACACGTCATGAAAATACCCACAACAGGGAGAAAGCCCATGCTGTACACAAGAGACCCTGAAAACATGCTATTCGTTGACACTTACCCTATACATGGACAGGTCGATACGGAGTGAGTTGTGCAGCTGGTCCAGCAATTTAACAAACCTTTCTTTCTGTTGGGCAGAAAAAAAAAGACCCCAATAAATAACCTCATGCTCCATCACAGAAAAGTAGATCTACTCAGCACTCCAATCAGACGAGTGCTTCCCGAGAACCAGCGCTGGGTTACAGAGGAGTGGGAGGAGGCTATCTGCGTTCATTCTATTGTACAAACGTGGTGGGCAGACAATACTTGCTTCAGATCTCTGATTTTACTGCCACACCAAGCTCAGGAGGGATTTCAATATTTACAAGGGTCAGGAAATTCTTCTTCGTCCCTTAAAGGAGGCCCATACACTGCTCCAGTGCAGAGAATCCCAGACCACTACGTATTTGGAATGGACACAAGTTCCAGTTCTTCAGCTGCACGGTTGCACAGACACAACGATCACATTTAAAGCAAAGGCTCGTCCCCACACTGGCTCTGGCCAGCGGCACAGGCCCTCACTCATGCAAATGAGACTCTCAAATTGGTTCTTGCCAACATTTCACTTACTGCGAAACATTTTCAGAAGGTCAATTCAAAACGTGTGTTTTCAGGAATTGTTTTTTTAGCCAAAACACAATCCCCAAAGGTCAACCCCAAGCTGGGAATTGGGCCAGCGTCTGAAACATGCATCCAACACTTTCATCCAGCTCCAATCGCTGCCATACTTGGGGCCAATGCCGCTGGGAGCTGGTTCAGCATCCGCTGTGTCCCACACCAGAGCATGGCCTGTCCCAACCCCCGTTCTGAGAACCCGAACACACCCATCCTCTACCGGGTATTACAGGGCAAACAACGGAAACTGCACAGTACAATCAATGCCTCAGTTAGCCAACAAAGCAGAGCTGGGGAACCTTGTTTCGGTTGGGGGCCACTGACCCACACAAAAATCAGTCGGGGGCCACACACACAAAAACCCCCACTGACGGGGCGCCCGACTGAGGAGACACACTCCCCACGTTCGCCTCACACCCCAGAGCCTGGGGGCGGGCCTAGGATATTTTGTGCATTCCAATGCCGTGACAGTGCAAAGGGGGGCCCTGAGCCACGGGGGCCAGATCCAGACGCAGCCCCGGGCCTGAGGTTCCCCGCCCCTGCCCTAGAGAGTTCAACTTGAGAAACACCAGCAAGAAGCGCAGCAGCGATTTGGAGACAGACTTCTAAAGCCGTGGAAGTCCTGAAACCATCACGTGCAGGGGGCACGCTGTGTAGGATAATCCCCACAGGGCTCCATGCCGCTTGCACTCTGGTGCGGCTGGGGCACAGGGGCCAGGAGAACAGGGCACTGCGCTGCTCAGCCTCTAGCCTGGGTGCAAGAGACCACATCAACGGTGGTAATTCTTCCTACACCGTCCCTTCAGCAGAACTAGCATGTCACTGTAAGGAGAGGGCAAGCCAGAGGCACCCCAAGCCAGTAAACCCGTCACAGCGGCATGGCGGGACCGTTCACCCGGAAACATACCCCGAAGTTGGAGGCTGCAAAGCGGTCCGAAGCAGACACGTTGGTGGACGCGGTCGTGTGCGCGTAGTAGGCATTGATATTGGCCAGCAGGGTGCTCATCACAGCTGGCACTCCCGGGCACATGTACTTGGAGGAGAGACATGCAAAGTGCCTGGAACAGCAGAGGCAAGGTCAGTTTCGGAGAAGACGCCAAGACGCTCCATGGGTTACAAGGTTACATCCGGCCCTCAGGGGAAAGCAGATCTAGAGAAGTGGCTCTTCCAGCTATTTCCAGCCAACCAACCTCAACCACACCCTACTGGAAGTACCACATCAAGGAAGGCTGTAGCTGCCAGCCAGAATTTCACCTTGGTGGCAAGTTTCCATTCTCCAACACGTGGCTTTTCTGCCAAGATACCACTGGTAGCAGCAAAATAGACGCTTTCACCATGGCCCAGGAAACATGACACAAGGGCTTCAATCCAGCACTTTTTGGTAAGTCCCATCCTGAGATTGCCCCATTGCTCAGGATACGGCGATTCTGAGACAGCGCCTGATACCAGGAGACCTGCCCATCAAACTGCTCTGCCCAGCGTAGTCAGTAACTTCCTACGTGACAGCCAGTGGGAACTAGAACCCGCCCTGCCTGCCATGAGCGCGGCCGGATCTCTATCCCAGACTGCGCTGTACAGAGGCTTCTTTCATGCTCTGGGCTACTCCTGTCATCCTGCAGGAAGTACATGGGCTCATTTGCATATTCTCATATCATTGCTCTCATTAAAATGCAACAAAATCTCTTACAGGAAGGCTTAAAATTGTTCCACCAGCATTTGGTCTTGAGAAGTGATTCAAGTAAACAACCCAAGAACAGCTGGTATAAATACGGAGCCAGCAGTTAAAAAGGGAATAATATTATAAAACACAAAACAAGGGCGTCCGAGTGTAAGAAACTTGTCAATGTCTGCTACAAATTCACGTTTACAAGAACCTCTCTTGGAAAAGATCAATCTCTGTGGCCGGAGGCAACACACGGCCGTCAGCTTCCATGTTACTCACCCCCTGAGCACACTGACAGGGCTTTACATGAAAATACCCAAGATCCCGTGTTTCAGATGCTCATACAGTGGCATCTATGTGAGGTCTGGCAGGTGTCCTGCTGGGAGGTCAGTCACTCCTAGACAGACAGATCTCAGAACCCTGTGTCTCTCTACCAGTGTCTTGCACAGACACTTTTATGGAAGAAAGAAGGATCTCAAACTTGAATTATAGAATCCTAGGGCTGGCAGACACCTCAGGAGTCATCGACTCCAGCCCCCTGCCCAAAGCAGGACCAACCCAACTCAATCACCCCAGCCAGGGCATTGTCAAGCTGGGACTTAACCTTAAAAAACTACTTTTACTGTTCTGAAAAACTGACAAGCCCAAATCCCCGCAGAAAGATGCTTGCAGGGTTTGTGAAGGAACATACTTTTTAGCCATTGAGGGGGAAGCCTCAAAATTAGTCCAAGGCAGGGTCCATTACTGTGGACGTGCTACCTCAGATTTAGAGCCCCAGGAAGTACTGGGGAGTCATTATTTCGAAATAACAGCAGTGGAGCATCCACGCTACCATTATTTCAAAATCACTATTTCAGAATTAGCGTTACGCCGGAGGAAAAGCAGGGGTACAGATTTCAAATTCTGTGGCCCATTAGTTCAAAACAGCAGGCTTGGCCGTGTGGACGCTTGGCTTATAAATTCGACCTTGGTGGGCTTATTTCTAAACAAAGTCCTAGTGTAAATCAGGGGTTAGAGAGCATTTCTGTCCTAGCTGGTGCAATGTAGGTTCTAATCATACTCCGCTAACACGGCGCGTGTGCAAAGGACTTCTGGGGCTGGCTAGCACAGCTGTCATTTCAGGGCTCCCTTTCCACTTTGGTTACGATGGTTCCACCGGCAGCAAGTGAAGGTGTCTGTGGGGAGAGCTACCAGTGGGAACATTCAGCTCAAGGATACCTCAAAACAAACTGCCAAGGTGAGATTCTTCCAAACTTATCTGCCTCCTTCAGTATTTCACAGAAGACAAAAAGCAGATGCAACACAACAGGGTCTGCAGGAAGATGCCGAGTTCCTCAGGAACCTCAGGCAGCGCTTAGTGTTAAGGCCCCAAAGCAGCCGAGAACTGTACTAGTCTAGTGCGAAACACCGCAAGCCAGGGCACCCTCTTGGCTGAATCCTCCTGCTGACACACCGATTGCTCTGGTGCCTCATCCTGGGTTCCGGGATCACCCTGAAAAAGCGCTGGTGTTAAGTCTGGGTCCCAAATGCCCCTCCAGACGTGTTATTTGGGGGAGGGATGGTACATTTTAAATAACTCAGCGGTCAGTGAGTCTTAGAGCAGCGACGCTTTGCCGCTGGGAACCACGTTCATGCTGCTTTGCAATACACACTTTGGATGTGGCTGCTCAGAATTGAAATCGCAGGGCAGGACCATCAGCTGGGGGGGCCAATGGATTGGAGAGTGGGCCCGTGGCTCCCAGGAACAAGCGCCCTGTGCTGGCAGCGCCTCCCGGTCACGCGGCTCTAGCACTGGGGTCCAGGCAGGGCTGGGTGCAGGACAGCCGCACGGGGAGAGGAGCCATCAGCCCTGGACAGCGGCTCCTGGGAGCAATGGGACCACGCTCCTCTCCATGGCTGCAGCGTGTCTCGCGAGTACTGCCCCGTGGATGCCAATGACATACACCCACAGCTGCGGTTAGACATTTGTATCCAGGCAGGACTCGACTGACTCAGAGCACGACAGCCCGCTCCTGCTCACCATCCCCCTAACCGACAGGGACCAGCATCGCCAGACACGGCAGGCCACGCCAGCCACACTACACATAATTAACAACCAACACATTCACAACTCTGCCCTTGGTGAGTAAATCCATCAGCCACAGCAAGGGTCCAAGCTAAGGACCACCTGCAGAGTCACTTACGTCATAGCCTGGTATATTGTCTCTATACCATAACGCATTGCAAATTCATCCACAATCTCTTGGGCTGTCTCGTCAAAATAGACCTTCCAGGCATCATCTCCTTTGGCGTCTGGGATCTTCACCACCCCATTCCCTTGAATATCTGTGAGATGGTGGAAGAGGTTCTGAAAGGGAAACAGAACGCAACTGAAGCGGATTGGCTGGAAGCCTCCAAGACGGAGAGCAACACGACTGGCTTGGAACCACCCTGGAGACAGAACATGGGAGAAACACAGCTCCTATATTCTACTGGCTTCCTTCTTCTTTTGGAGAGTTGGGTTTTCCTCCTCAGACATGACAGGATTCCCCAGATGCATCCCTACAGCTTCATTCACCTGTAAAAGTAACTGGCTCATGCCCTGAGGGAACAAGGCTTTAGCTCAAACTTAAGTCAACAAAAGGACAAGACAACCGGCCACCAGGGATAGCTCAGTGGTTTGAGCACTGGCCTGCTAAACCCAGGGTTGTGAGTTCAATCCTTGAGGGGGCTACCTAGGGAGCTGGGGCAAATCTGTCAGGGAGGGTACTTGGTCCTGCCATGAGGGCCTTGATGACCTCTCAAGGTCCCTTCCAGTTCTATAAGATAGCTATATCTCCATGCTATTATAATAAATACATGCAGGAGGTGGAGCAGGCCTGTAACACACAGGTGAGGCCTGCAACTACAGGTCCCAGTCCCCATGGGCCACACCTCGGTACAGAAGGTAAGACCACCTGTGAGGCGGGGTTTCAACCAACATTACAGGTGTGTAGAAATGTGGATGGATCTTTAAGGTGACTTTGTACAACACTACAGCCATCTAATGGCTGGAACATCACAAACTGTCCCCTCATAGCGCAACAGGCCAGCACAGGCGATGGCTTCATGCTTCTTTCAGCTTCCCCAGCACGTCACAGGCGGCTCGCTAGGGACATTAGCGACTAGCCAACTATCTGATACGCATAAGCTTATTGGCTAGTCGATCCGTGTCTCAACTAGTCACTCCCGATCCATGTCTCTACTAGTCGCTGCCCCTCCCCCAGTGCTGGGGGAGCCAGCTTAAAAGGGGGAGCCAGCTTAAAAGCAGGTTCCCCCAGCACCATCTCCACAGGGGGCAGAGGCGTACAGGGTGACTAGGCGTAAACCAGAAATCAGCAGATTCCCAGCTCACGTCTGGTCCCTCCTGCAGTGCTCCTGCCTCTTAAATGCATTAGGAGCCTGGCAGCGGCAGCGGCTCTTACTACATTTAAAAGGCAGCGTCACATTTAAAAGGCAGCGTCACAGAGGGGGTTAGCTCCCAGGGCCAGGAGCTAATCCCGCTGTGGCTCCGCAGCGTGGCTCCGCAGTCTCCCGACTAATCTATGGAAATTCCATCGACTAGTCAACGAGTCGATTCAACGCAATGTCACCTCCCTGCCACTTGCAATGATCCCTGCGGGCGGAGGCGCCGAGCGGAAAGCCAGCCAGCCGTTCCATCCTGGCTCTGCAGCTTCCGGAAGCAGCCTGGCAGCACAAACCTCCCTACGCAGACACAAGCCCGGCTCTCCCGCGGCTCAAGCTAGCACCAGCCATGCGCAGAACAAGCTATGACATTGCCCCGAGAAAGCGGCCTTCCAAGGTTTAACTCCACTCCCCGTGTGTAATGGAATTCCACTGCAGGGCTCTTGGGGACACAAGCAGGTTCTTCCTGAGTGGCCCAAGGGGATGCCCGCTGCCTGCAAGGAAAGCTCTCTGGAAGCAAGGACTCAGTGCAAGCGGCACAAGGCTATTTTCTTGCTCCAGTGAAGTCGCGGACCTGTTGGTCTCCTGACCCTCAAAGGCTGTGTAGGGGAGACGAAAATGACTCGCACCGGACACACTGTTTCAACTGAAGTCATGGTCCCTTCCCAGGCCAACAGTCTGAGCGTTGCCATCTTTGGGAAAACGGCCGATTCCAACGCTGTCCCCACCGCGTGCAGCTCAGGCATCCTTCCTCATCCCCTTTTCCGGCCCGTCTGCTTCCACTGGGAAGGCCTCCACCCACCACTGCTGTGCGGCAATCACCCCCCACGCAGTTCAGCGTGTTCCCCGGTGCCCCTCAAGCGGCGTGCGGACACTTCAGCCGCCGGGACACTGGCCTCCTTGGTGAGCAAACCAAGAGATGGAAAATCTCATGATCTAATTAGGAGCCACGGGGCTTTTGCCTGAACCTAGGACTTCCCCTAGTTTAGCTGCAAAGCGCTTCGGGGTTGCCAGTGACGTACACCATCGCTGGCTGAAAGGGGCGGGGAGAGGCCTTTAAAGCGACAGCCCCGCAGAGGGGAGGAATAGAACGACCCTGCGTTGTCAGGGGAACCCCAACAGCTCAAGATGCAGAACTGCCACTGAACTAAAAGGCCGAGATCTGACCCTAATTGCTGCTGGGTGGCTCGTTGTGGTTCCTGGACACCTCTCACCCTTCCAGGCTAAGCCTAGCCCAGAGGTCCCTGGCCTCTGTCTGCCCCCCTCAAGGACAGCCAGGGACACTGGATTAGCCTCTGCTCCCTAGAGCCCCTAGCAGCGAAGGAGTGCAGCTGGGGGGAGGGGGGTTTATGCCGTAAGGGCAGGGGACTGGACTTAATGATCTCTTGCAGTCCCCTCCACTTCTAGGAGTCTACGCTGCCAATGCCTGCACTCTGCCTGGTCACGGGACAGACCGAGGGGCTTCAAACCCAAGAGCGGGGTCCTAACGCATTTCAGACGACAATGAACCACGTTTATTCACAACCTAGCCTAGAGGGGACAGCCAACCTTGGACATGGGCAAGGCCTAGTAACAGGACCTCAATCTGCAGGCAAGGGCTGAGTTACAGCTGGACAGACTGCAGTCTCTATAGCCACAGGCTGAGAAAGGCTGGGGGGGGGGGGGGGGGGGGGGAGCGA